ATGGATGTGCAGGACTCCAGCCACGTGAACTGTAAGCTGTACAAAGGATTGTCTGATGCCCTCATCTGTACAGATGATTTCATTGCCAAGGTTGTTCAAAGGTAAGCTGGGATTTTGTCCCACCTTATGCTCCCGGTCACACAGATGAGCTCTGCTCCATCTTGTGTTTATCCAGCAGCTCTGGAGCTGTTCTGTGGTTGTTTGCAGGAGAGAACAACTCAGAGCCATGCTGAAAATTCAATGCCAGATATTGAACTGTAGCTACTTATTTTTGAGTTTGTTGTTTACACAAGGCTCTTATCACCTCAGTCACATTCAGAACAGAGCAGGGCATTCCCAGGGGACAACACTCCTGTCACCTTTTGGGTGGGAACCACGAGTTTTGCTTCTAGCATGTTATAGACTCATTATCCCTGAGGAGAATGTGGTGTTATCACTGATTTTTGAGCTCAAAAACTGCCCCTGCCCGTGGCAGAGGGGATGAACTGGATGAGCTTTAAGCTCCTGGGATTTTTATAAGGTTTAGGAAATCAGGTTTACCAAGGCGTTCTCTGCCAGAATTGGAGTGACAACCCAGATTCCTTCATGAAGACAGATCAAAGGGAATGGCTTTAAACTGAAGCAGTAGTTCTAGGTGGGATATTGGGAAGAAATCCCTCCCTGTGAGGGTGGGCAGGCGCTGGCACAGGGTGCCCAGAGCAGCTGTGGCTGCCCCTGGATCCCTGGCAATGCCCAAGGCCAGGCTGGACAGGGTTTGGAGCAGCCTGGGACAATGGGAGGTGTCCCTGCCATGGCAGAGAGTGGGACTGGATGGGCTTTAAGGCCCCTTCCAAACCAAAGCATTCCATGATTCTGTGCTCTTTAACTAGCAGATAGTGATCTGTCAGCTATCAGTTATTAGAGATAATTGATTAATCCTCCCTCTGGGATTGCAAGGGCAGGTGTCTCTCTGAATTCAAGCAGAACAGCAGGACATAAATCCTGGACCTGCTGCTCTCCTGTGCAAGCCCCTGAGTGCTCATTTTGTACCTGCTGGAGGTGTAAAACCTCCCCAGTGAGCTTTGCTGAGGGCAGCCAGCCCCAGCTGAGCCTGTGCTGTGTCTTGCAGGTGCATGTCCATCCCTGTCACCATGAGAGCCATCCGTAGGAAAGCAGAAACCATCCAAGCTGACACGCCAGCCCTGTCCCTCATTGCAGAGACAGTTGAAGACATGGTGAAGAAAAACCTGCCCCCAGCCAGCAGCCCAGGGTATGGCATGACCACAGGCAGCAACCCAATGAGCGGGACCACCACCCCAACCAACACTTTTCCTGGGGGGCCCATCACTACTTTGTTTAACATGAGCATAAGCATGAAAGAGAGGCATGACTCGGTGGGCCATGGGGAGGACTTCAGCAAAGTGTCTCAGAACCCTATTCTCACTAGTTTGTTACAGATCACAGGCAATGTGGGCTCTACCATTGGCTCAAGTCCAACCCCTCCCCACCACACACCACCACCAGTATCCTCACCAGCCAGCAACACCAAGAACCACCCCATGCTCATGAACCTTCTTAAGGAGAATCCTCCTCAGGATTTCTCCACTCTTTATGGGAGCAGCCCTCTGGAAAGGCAGAACTCTTCCTCTGGCTCCCCCAGGATGGAAATGGGCCCTGGGGGGAATAAACAAAAGAAAAAAAAATCCCGCGTGCCGGCCGACAAGCCCAAGCACCAGACTGAGGACGATTTCCAGAGGGAGCTCTTTTCCATGGATGTTGACTCCCAGAACCCCATTTTTGACGTCAACATGACTGCAGACACCCTGGACACCCCTCATATTACTCCAGCACCCAGCCAGTGCAGCACTCCTCCTACCACGTACCCCCAGGCCCTGCCCCACGCCCAGCCCAGCATCCAGAGGATGGTTCGCCTGTCCAGCTCGGACAGCATCGGGGCCGATGTCACCGACATCCTCTCGGACATAGCCGAGGAGGCTTCCAAGCTGCCCACCAGTACTGAGGACTGCCCACCCATTGGGACTCCAGTCAGAGATTCTTCTAGTTCAGGACATTCACAAAGTGCCCTCTTTGACCCCGATGTTTTTCAGACCAACAGTAGTGAGAACCCCTACACAGACCCCGCGGACCTGATCGCGGACGCCGCTGTGAGCCCCAACAGCGACTCCTCCAACCATTTTTTTCCAGACGGGGTAGATTTCAACCCTGACTTGCTGAACAGTCAGAGCCAGAGTGGTTTTGGGGAGGAATACTTTGATGAGAGCAGTCAGAGTGGAGACACTGATGATTTCAAGGGTTATACCCCCCAGGCTCTAACTAATTTGGGGGTGCAAGTCTTGGGGGGTGATGGGGGGGAAAATAAATTTAAGGGGAGCGCTCCGTCCGACACGGTGGATTTTAGTATTATTGCAGCTGCCAGCAAAGCACTGGGGTCCTCTGACATCATGGAGCACCACAGTGGAGGTCAGAGCCCTTTGCTGAACACGGGGGATTTAGGAAAAGAGAAGTCTCAGAAACGGGTAAAGGAAGGCAATGGGTCTGGAGGTGCCATGGCAGCTGCTGGCATGGATGGGAAGCCGGGGAAGCGCAGCCGGACGCCGTCCAGTGATGGCAAAAGCAAAGAGAAGCTCCCAAAGAGGAAGAAGCAGGAGACAGATGGGAAATCTCCATCGCACAGTTCATCCAACAGGCCCTTCACGCCACCAGCAAGCACAGGTGGGTCCAAATCTCCAGGGAGTTCGGGCAGATCCCAGACTCCTCCCGGGGTAGCTACTCCTCCTATTCCAAAAATAACCATTCAGATCCCAAAAGGAACAGTGACTGTTGGCAAACCGTCTTCACACGGCCAGTACACGAGTAGTGGTTCTGTCACCTCCTCCAGCAGCAAAAGCCATCATAGCCATTCTTCCTCCTCCTCCTCTTCTTCCTCCTCTTCAACCTCAGGCAAAATTAAAAGCAAATCAGAAGGCTCTTCTGGCTCCAAGATGAGCAGCAGCCTCTACTCCAGCCAAGGGGGTTCTGGCTCGGGTCAGTCCAAGGGCTCGGCGCAGTCGGTGGGAAAGCCGGGATCCTCCCCCATCACCAAGCACGGCCTCAGCGCCGGCTCTGGCAGCACCAAGATGAAACCTCAAGGAAAGCCATCATCCCTCATGAACCCTTCCATGAGCAAACCAAACATCTCCCCGTCCCACTCGAGGCCCTCAGGGGGCTCTGACAAACTCGCCTCTCCCATGAAGCCTGTCCCGGGTACTCCCCCGTCGTCTAAAGCGAAGTCACCCATCAGCTCAGGTTCTGGTGGGTCCCACATGTCTGGGACTGGGTCAAGCTCGAGCATGAAATCCTCTTCAGGAATGGGATCCTCCGGGTCTATGTCACAGAAACCGCCTCCCTCGTCCAATTCCTCCACGGCATCTTCATCTTCCTTTTCATCCAGCGGGTCTTCCATGTCTTCATCCCAGAACCAGCATGGAAGCTCCAAAGGGAAGTCCCCCAGCAGAAACAAGAAGCCATCTCTGACTGCAGTCATAGACAAGCTGAAGCACGGGGTGGTCACGAGCGGGCCTGGCGGAGAGGACCCCATGGATGGGCAGATGGGGCCGAGTTCCAATTCCTCAAGCCATACGATGTCCTCCAAACACAACATGTCTGGAGGGGAGTTCCAGGGAAAGCGGGAGAAGAGCGACAAGGAGAAATCGAAGGTCTCAGTTTCTGGAGGATCCGTCGACTCTTCCAAGAAGAACTCGGATTCCAAAAACGTCGGAAGCACCGGAGTGGCCAAAATCATCATCAGCAAACACGACGGCGGCTCCCCCAGCATCAAAGCCAAAGTGACTCTGCAGAAACCCGGGGAAGGAGGCGGGGACGGGCTGAGACCTCAGATGGCTTCTTCCAAAAGCTACGGATCGCCCCTGATCAGCGGCTCCACCCCCAAACACGAGCGCTGCTCCCCCAGCCACAGCAAATCCCCGGCCTACACCCCCCAGAACATCGACAGCGAGAGTGAGTCGGGCTCGTCCATCGCCGAGAAATCCTACCAGAACAGCCCCAGCTCCGACGATGGCATCCGGCCCCTGCCCGAGTACAGCGCTGAGAAGCACAAGAAGCACAAAAAGGAGAAGAAAAAAGTCAAGGACAAGGACAGGGACAGAGAGAGGGAGCGGGATAAGGACAGGGATAAGAAGAAATCGCACGGGATGAAGCCTGAGAGCTGGTCCAAGTCTCCCATCTCAGCAGATCAGTCTCTGGCCATGGCCAGCAACGCGATCCTCTCGGCAGAGCGGCCGAGCCGGGCCAGCCCCGAGTTCCTCATCGGGGAGGAAGATGATGATCTCATGGATGTTGCTCTAATTGGTAATTAATTCTCTCAGATGAGCTGTGTGCAAGTCCTGGAGGGAAGGAAGGAAGGATTCATCTCAAACCTGCCACATGGGTCTGTTTGGAGAGGAGGAAAATAAGTATTTCTAAAGTATTTCCAAGATGTTCAGACCAGCAAGGTCTGTGCAGAAGGATGTGAGTGCCAGCAGCCAGGTCCCTGCCTGTGGCCTTCATCCTGTGGGCACTTCCATTCTCCCTGAATTGATGAGTGTTATCATCCCTGTGGGAATTCACAGGGATGGAGCAGTGTGGGAATGTGGCAGCAGCTCCCAGATGGGGCAAACAGACATAGGCTGGGCTGGGAGATCCCAGTCCCTCTGCCCTCTTCCCATTCAGGATAAGCTCCTTTTGGATGTAGGAAGTTTTCAAGTAATTATTTTAGGAAATGTTTTAAGGCTGGGTTTTAATTCTTTGGAAGAAGGAAAACCATGAGGTTTTTAAATTTATTTTATTCCCATGGCATTCCTTTATTCAATGCCCAGCTCAACTGGGCACTGTTTCCTCATGGAAATCAGGATTTTATCCCAGGTCAGAGCTCTGAGGGATTGCTGCTGCCTTGGCTTTGCCTTCCCATTTATTTTAGCTATTTATTCACCTCCATGTGGCAACACCTCGTGCTCCTTGTTTCACCCCAGTGGGAATTTGGGTGGCTCTGCAGCTTTGGTGACATTCCAGCACAGTGAAATTCCAGCAAATCTCAATGGAAAAGGGATTCCTGCCTGCACCAACAAACTTCCCTGGAATTCCTCATGCTGCTGTGCTGGGAATTGTGCTCACAATCCTGGGGAGGATTCTCCAGCTTGGAAAACCATCCCAGAGTGGCTCAGCTGGGCTCAGAGCTGCAGCAGAAGTGTTGGTTTCCTTCAGAGATGGATTTTCCCCTTTTGGCTGGAATGAGGAGCATGACTCAGGCATCCTCTCCGGGCTGATCTTGTGGTCCCTGAAAAGGAAAAGAGGCTCAGGAGAGGGTTTTATTTTTAAAAGCAGTTTCATCTGATTCACTCGAGTGGAATGTGGGAAATCAGGAGTTCTGCAGACACGTCTCCTGTGGAATTATGGACTGGGCAGGATCCTGCTCCCGCTGGGTTTTGCTGGTGGTGTTGGAGGCCAGGATTTCCCCGTGGGAATTGAGGTCGTGCTTCACCTTTTTGGGGATGCAGCGTGAAAAGTTGGCAAAGATTTGAGTTTTTCTTTTAAACCACTGAAATTTCCCATCCTGGGCTGACCCCCAGGAAAGCTGTTTGGTTTCCAGCTTTTTTTTGGAAAGTGTTTTTAGTAGTTTAATTGTAGGGATTTTTCACCCCTTCCTGCTGCCTCCAGGAGCCTGAATGTCTCCCAAACTTCCCCCAGCTCTGCAGAACTTTTCCCTCCTTACATTTTCCAGTATTTATCCTTTGCTCCTGGTGTCCTGCACGCCACAACCAGAGCTTGAAATGATAGGAAAATGGGAATTAAATGGGAATTAAATGCAAACCTGGAGCAAACGCTGATACCTGGCACAGTGTTGGAATTTTGGGGTGCTGCAAAGAGGATGTCAGGAGCACAATCCCAGAGGAATTCAGCTGGACACCCGGCTCCATTCAGCTCAGCCTCTGGAGCCCCATCTCCTGCTTTTATTTAATCCATTTTTTTTTGGACAAAATCCCTTGGATCCAAGTTGTGTGAGGGGGCACAAGCAGCCTTCCAAAAAAAAGCACTTTTCAAGTGGAATCCAGGCTGGGAATGCCCCAGGATGGATCCCTGGACTCATCCTCAGCCAGAGCTGTGTTTTCCTGCTGTGCTGCACGCTAAAACTTGGAAGCGAAAGCAGCGAAATCGCCACAAAAATCTGTTTGAAAAGGAGCAAGCTGCACTCGTTTCCTCTCCCCTCACCCAGACCAAAGCTCAGTATCCAAAATTCCCCCTGTGGAAGGTGGGAACAGAGGGAACAACGTCTCCTCCAGCCCAAATTTTGAGCTTTTCACCCCATTTTGGTGCCCTGTCTCCTTCCAATGACATCAGTCCTGGGAGAGCTGAGGTGCATGACCACGCTGAGGTGTTGGGGTGTCAGTGCTCGGGCTCTGAGAAATGGTTTATTTTTGGAATATATTTGCTTATATTCTCAAGAATTTTACATCTTTCAGTATTCAGAAAGATAAAAATAAAGTGAAAATTAAATATAAGCCAAACCTTTTAATCTCAGGTGGTGAAGTGAACACGGAGATTAAAAGAAACTGGTTCTTTTCCTCGATTATCATGATGTACATAAATCCCTGGCTGGAGAATCGCTGGAATTTGTAAATATCCCGGCTGTTTTTTGGGGCGGAAAGTGGAATTTCAACTTTTTTGGAGATATCGCAGAGAACATCTTTATTTACATGCAAATAAACCCGTTTGGTACAAACCGGTGTCGCTGTTGCTGTGGGGGAGGATCGGAAACCCATCCCCGCCATGCTTGATTTTCCCGCCAGAATGACATCACCATGACGTCACCGCCACGCCGCGCGCTGATTGGTTGAACTCGCTTCTCCCGGAAGAGACCGGAGGGGCCGGGGATGCCCCCTCCCCTCGCGGGACCCCCGATCCCCGCAGCCCCCCGGACACCGGGGGAGCGTCCTGCGGGCCGGGGGGGTCCCGCGGCCCCGGTACCGGGGGCAGGGGGCGGGCGGGCCCCGCGGCGGCGCGATGGGGGCGGCGGCCTGCGGGGTAGGTGGGGGGAGCCTCGGTGGTGTGTGTGTGTGTGTGTGTGTCCCCGGTCATGTGTGTGTGTCCCCGGTCATGTATGTCCCCCTGGGCGCGTGTGTGTGTGTCGCGGTCATGTATGTCCTCCCGGTCATGTGTGTGTCCTCCCGGTCATGTATATCCCCCCGGTCGTGAGTGTGTGCCCCGGTGGTGTGTGTGTCCCCCCGGTTGTGTGTGTGTCCCCCTCCTCATCCTTTCGCCCTCCCCGGGCAACCCCGGACCCGCATCCTCAGGGCAGCCCCGGTCCCGTCCCCCCGGCTCCGGGATCCCCTCCGCTCCCTCTCTTTTCCGCACCCCCCTTTTCTCCCCGGGGTTCTCCCGTCCTCTCCCAAAGCTCTCATTCCCCATCTCGCTGTTCGCCCCTCTCCCTTCCCTATCCTCTCCCTCTCCCCGTCCCCTTCTTTTCCGCACCCCCCTTTTCTCCCCGGGGCCGCTCCCGTTTTCCCCCCTTCTCTCCCAACGCCCTCATTCCTCACCTCGCTGTGCTCCCCTATCTCCCATCCCTCTCCCGCTTCCGTCCCCCTCTTTTCCGCACCCCCCTTTTCTCCCCGGGGTTCTCCCTTCCTCTCCCCTCTCTCCACTCAAACCCCCCATTCCCCACCTCGCTGTTTGCCCTTCTCCCCTCTCCCGTCCCCCTCTTTTCCGCACCCCCTTTTTCTCCCGCTTCCCCTCTCCTCTCCCAAACCCCCCATTCCCCACCCCGCTGTTCGCCCCTCTCCCTTCTCTCCCTTCCCTCCCTTCCCTCTCCCCGGTCCCGTCCCCCCGACCCCGGCACCCTCTCCCTTTGCCAGCCCCGCTCCCGTCCCCCTCTTTCCCGCAGCCCCCTTTTCTCCGGCTTCCCCTCCCCTCTCCTCTCCCAAAGCCCTCATTCCCCGCTGTGCGCCCCTCTCCCTTCCCTCTCCCTTCCCTTCCCTTCCCTTCCCTCTCCCTTCCCTTCTCTCCCCTCCCTCTCCCGTTCCCGTCCTCCCCCCTCACGGCCGCGCTGTCCAATCAGCGCTGCCGTTGCTGGCAGGTGCGCAGTGTTTTTGTTTTGGGTCGAAGTTGAGCGGACGCGGCGGCGGCGCCGGGCGGAGGCCGCGGCTCCGGCACCCGCGATCGCCCCGGGCCCCGCGCCCCCCGCCGCCCCCGCGCCGGCCCCGCCATGCGCAGGGAGATGAACGGGGTCACTAAGAGCCGCTTTGAGGTGAGGCCCCGGCCGGTCCCGCGGGGGGAGGCCCGGCCTGGCCCGGCCGAGGAGGAGCGGGGGGAGCCGGGCCGCGCTGTCAGCGACCCCCCCTGAGGGCTCTGGGGACCCTCCCGGACAGCGCGGACCTGGGGGGGCATGGGGGAAATGGGGTTGGGATGGGGGGGTGGGGATTGAGGGCGGCCCGGGGGGCTCAGAGCTGTGCCCCCCGGGTTTGGGGTGCCTTTGGTGTGACATTTCTCCTCTCCACCCCCCCATTTTTGGGGGGATTTTCTGCTGACGGATGCGAACTCCCTGTGAATGGGTCTGCGATGAGGGGCTCAGGGCTGTACCCCCTCGGTTTGGGGGTTGGTTGGTGACATTTCTCCCCTGCACCCCCCATTTTTGGGGGGGATGTTCTATTGATGCATATAAACTCTCTGTGAATGGGGCTGGAATGGGGGGCTCAGGATGAGGGGCTCAGAGCTGTGCCCCCTGGGTTTGGGGGAAATTATTGTGATATTTCTCCTCTGCACCCCCCATTTTTGGGGGGATGTTCTATTGACGGATATAAACTCCCTGTGAATGGGGCAGGGATTTGGGGGGGTGGTCGAGAGCTGTGCCCCCCGAGTTTGGGGGGTCATTGATGTGACATTTTTCCCCTGCACCCCCCATTTTCGGGGGGATATTCTGTTGATGGATGTGAACCCCCCTGGGGTTCTGTAAATGGGGCTGGGGGTGACTTTGGGGACACGGAGATTCTCAGAGCTGTGACCCCCAGATTTGGGGGTGCTGATGTTAAACTCCTCCCTGCCCCGTTTTTGGGGGGCTCAGTGTCAATGAGGCTGGGGAGGGTCTGTGGGTATAAAGGAAGTTGGGGGGCTCAGACCTGGCCTCCCGGATTTGGGGGAGCTCAGTGTGAAACCTCTTCCCCTTCCATCCATTTTGGGGAAGGGGTTCCCCCATCTGATTCCCTGCTCTGAATGGGGCTGGGGAGAATCGGGGGGTGCGAGTTTGGGGGGGTGAAACTTCTCCTCCACCCCATTTTGGGGGTCCCCCCATTTATTACACCCTCCCGGGGGGATTTTTGGGGGGGGGTCACAGCTGCTGCCAACGTGTTGCTGCGGGTTCCAGCGCTGCCAGCCAAGTTGAGCAGGAGCTGTGGGGAAAACGCGCCTGGAAAACACCACAGAACCTTTGAGGGGGGAAAAAAAGGAGTCCCCAGCGCCGCTTTTTTATTTTTATTTTTAGCTGGGGGGGAGAAAATAAAAAATTTGCTTACGGGGAGGTGGGGGATGGAGAGGACGGAAGGAGAGGAGGGTAAACAATGAGATCTATTCAAAGGCCGTGGCACAAAGCGGAGTGTGGAGCCAGGGCCATTCCAGCCGCATTGTTGTCCCAGCTGTCTTCCCGTGGGAGGAGGAGGAGGAGGAGGGCGTAGGGAGGAAGGGCAGCGGCGGGGATTGACTTCCCATCGCTGCCACAGGAGGATGGAAATCCCTGCTCGCTGCTTCTCCGGACTGCCCGGCCCCTCTGGGGGACAAAAAAGAGCCTGGGATGGTAAAAACGTGGCTGTAGGATGGCAGGGCAGGGAAAATTCTGGTTAGTGATGAACTGGAGAGGCTCTGGGGGTGGAGAGGCTCTGGGGGGGATTCTCAGGCCTGGAGGTGAGAAAGGAGCAGGGAAAATTCTGGTTAATGATGAACTAGAGAGGCTCTGGGGGTGGAGAGGCTCTGGGGGGATTCCTTAGCCCTGGAGGTGAGAAAGGAGTAGGGAAAATTGTGGTTAATGTGAACTGGAGAAGCTCTGGGGGGATTCTCTAGAAAGGAGCAGGGAAAATTCTGGTTAGGGTGAGCTGGAGAGGCTCTGGGGGGGATTCTCTAGAAAGGAGCAGGGAAAATTCTGGTTAGTGATGAACTGAAGAGGCTCTGGGGGGATTCTCAGGCCTGGAGGTGAGAAAGGAGCAGGGAAAGTTCTGGTTAGGGTGAACTAGAGAGGCTCTGGGGGGGATTCTCTAGAAAGGAGCAGGGAAAATTCTGGTTAGGGTGAGCTGGAGAGGCTCTTGGGGGTAGAGAGGCTCTGGGGGGGATTCTCAGCCCTGGAGGTGAGAAAGGAGCAGGGAAAATTCTGGTTAGTGATGAACTGGAGAGGCTCTGGGGGGATTCTCTAGAAAGGAGCAGGGAAAATTCTGGTTAATGTGAACTGGAGAGGCTCTGAGGGGGATTCCTCAGGCCTGGAGGTGAGAAAGGAGCAGGGAAAATTCTGGTTAGTGATGAACTGGAGAGGCTCTGGGGGGATTCTCAGCCCTGGAGGTGAGAAAGGAGCAGGGAAAATTCTGGTTAGTGATGAACTGGAGAGGCTCTGGGGGTGGAGAGGCTCTGGGGGGATTCTCAGCCCTGGAGGTGAGAAAGGAGCAGGGAATGCTGGTGGTCCCACACTGCACATGGAATTGTTTTCTTCCTCCTCCATCAGATCCGTGTGGGAGCTGCGAGTTTGGGGTGGGCTCAGGTGATTTAAACGTAATATTGTAATAATATGTATAATATAATGGGTAATAAAATGTAATATTGGTGTTTCTGTGGCACTGGGCTCACCCTGGGAGCTCCACAGAGGAGCCTGCACGTGAGCCCTGCATTATCCACACTTATTGTATTTACTCTTCTGGGCTCTTCTTGCCTGCACTGATTTTTTTTTATTTATTTTTTTTTAACCCCCTGAGAGCTTTATTTTATTATTTTGCACTGCTGCAGAGTGGCTGAATACAGAGTAAAATCAGGTTGGTGACAGATTTTGGGGGAAATATCTTGTATAGAATCAACAATCAACATCCTTTGCTTCCTCAGCCTTGCAGCGCTGGAGTTCATTCCAATTTTGGGTGGATTTTCATCAGGGTTGCACCAGGACACGATGAACCCAATCCATTGGGGAAAAAGAGTGGGGAAAGGCTTTGTTTGGCCTCTTTTGGGTGGGGTTTATTTCTTTGCTGTGGAATGTTATTTTCTTCTCATAGTAAAAAAAAAAAAAACAGACAAGTTGGAAAAGCAGCAAAATGCTCGAGGAGCCTTTGAGGCCTAAAATTAATTTTTTTAAACCTATATTTATACAGGAAGAGTTGGTGTGGTATAGAAAGGATTATTTTGGGCTGCAAGAAGTGTCTTTAAACATCATCCTGTTTCTTGGCTGTTTGTTTGCTGTGTTCTGTGGCTGCCCCATCCCTGGAAGGGTTTGGAGAGGGACAATCTGGGACAGTGGGAAATGTCCCTGCCATGGCAGGGGTGGCACTGGATGAGTTTGAAGGTTCCTTCCATCCCAAACCACTCCATAATTATAAATCCTTCATTTCCCCAGCATGGATTACCTCTGACCCACTCACCTGCATAACCTGGAAAGTTTTAGAGCTGTTTTCCCTTAAATCTGTCATTTTCCACTGAGGTTATGTTGGTCAGAAGAGTTTCCAAAACATGTGTTCACACTTAGATTTATTTTCCAGAGGGGCAGAATGGGTGGAAATTCCTGTGTGCTTCCTAGAAACCAGTTTGTGATGGTTGTGGAGAGTTCACATTCCATGGGACAGGGGGAAAATTGGGCAGAAATTTGGAATACTGTAAGGTCATGAAGGCAGTGGGTTTTTAATTTTCCTCTTCTTCCTCCTCTTCCTCCTCACCTGTGGGGGCTGCCAGGGCAGTTCCCCTGGCTGAGCAAGGGGAATCAGGAATCTGAAATGTTATTTTGGGGTAAAAACAACCAGATTTGGGGCTGTGACTAAAATATTGTCTAGTATATTGTTTAATATAACTAATATATTGTCTAATATAACTAATATATTGTTTCAGGCTTGACATAACGGGTGAGTTGCAGAGGGGGAGGCTGGGCTGGGTTTGCACTTCATTTATTGTCTTTTGTGGAGCCACAGAAGCAAATTCCTGAGCCATTGTTGTTGGGGAATTCACAAATCCACTCGTGAGGGGGGATAATTTTTTATTGTTATTATTATTATCATTATCATCATCATCATTATCATCATTATCATCATTAATAATTTATATTATAATAATGATATTATCATAGTAATTCTAATAATATTAATAATCATAATATAATAATATCAATGATAATAGTAATAATAGTAATAATAATTAAAAATAATAATAGTTTATTATATTATAATAATATAATGATTATAATAATATTAATAATTATTATAATATAGTGATAATAGTAATAATAGTAATAATAATAATATTGTATTATATTATAATTATATTATCATAATGATTATTATAATATTAATAATAATTATAATATAATGATAATCGTGATAATAGTAATAATAGTAATAATAATATCTTATTATATTATAATGATATTATCATAATTATTATAATAATATTAATAATAATTATACTATAATGATAATAGTAATGATAGTAATAATAATAAAAATAATATTTTATTATATGATAATAATATTATCATAATAATTATAACAATATTAATAATTATAATATAATAATGATAATAGTAATAATAGTAATAATAATAAAAATTAACTAATAAAATAATAATGATAATAATGATAATAATGATAATGATAATAATAATGATAATAATAATAATAATAATAATAATAATAATAATAATAAACTAATAATAATAATAATAATAATAATAATAATTCCTTACTGTAGGGATAAAATATGGGCAAAGCTCCTTAAATTGGATTTGCTTGTGGGTTTCTGATCCCAGGCAGAGTGGAATTCTCTTTTTCCTGGGAATGCCATGGAGCACATTGGCATCAGTCCCTTTACAGGAGGTGTGGCCACCACAGAGAAAATCAGCACTTACTGCAGCAAAGCAAACAAAAAGGGAAAACATGACCCAGATTGACTCCTCATCCTCTGTGCTGTTGGTTTCATGTGGAACGTGCCCCAGCAGATCCCAATCCTTGTTTTATTGTTTTATTTGGGATTTCTCAGCTTCCTGCCTGATGAGGAGCAGCCAAATAACAGCAGAGAGGAGAG